AACGCAAGTATTATTGACCACGCATGTCCAAGTACATACAGCGATACGTGAACACGTGTGAAATGTGTCAACGGAATAAGGCCAGACAAACAAAACCACCAGGCCTACTAAATTCGCTAAGTATTCCTAGCGGTCGGTGGGTCGACGTATCCATGGATTTCATGGTAGAACTGCCAGTAACAAAAGCAGGTTTTGATTCAGTAATGGTCATTGTCGATCGGATGACGAAAAGAGCCAAGTTTATTGAGACAAAAACGACGGCGACAGCAGAAGATACTGCGACTATGTTCATGAAGAACTATGTGACGGATCATGGTTTACCAAAGTCGATTATGTCAGACATGACCCCAAGTTCACATCTAAGGTGTGGTCATCAGTGATCAGCACATTACAGACACAGCACAATCTATCATCGGATTTCAGACCGCAAACAGACTGCCAAACGGAGAGGACCAATCGCTTTATCGAAGTCTACCTTCGAGGCGTTGTTAATCCAGCCCAAAATGACTGGGACGACTATTTGCATTTGGCGGCATTTGCATACAACAGGAGAGTGCATTCATCTATCGGAATGTCGCCGTTTGAAGCCGATCTTGGTTATTGCCCCTACATGCCTGACGATGTTAATGCAGATCCTGAGTTCAAAAACCTGAGTAAAGCTGCTCATGATTTCCTTATGCGGCAAGAAGTATTCCTCAAGTTAGCACAAGATGCCATGAATGAAGCCAAGACAGAATGAAGGTCTATTACGACAAGATTCGCAAGTCCCAAGAATTTGAGGTGGGTCCGTTAGTGCTACTGGACGGAAGGAATCTTAATAATCGACACAAAGGTTTCGTCAAGACATCCAAGTTGGCGCCACGTTTTGTGGGTCCATCCCCTATCCTGGAGAAGGTATGAAAAGATTCGTACAAATTGGCGATGTCGGACAATTTGATGATACACGCTGTGTTCCACACGTCGTGGCTCAAGAAAAACCAGAAGGACGCCAATCGCCGTCAGAAAGCGAGCAAGGTACTGTTGGCTGACGGAACAACCGAAGGACAACTCGTCGAAGCTGTCATAGATTATTGAAAGTTACGAGGAAAAGAACAATACAAGTAAGTATTACAGAACTGGCCAGCAGTTTACTGGCCAAAACAGAATCGTCTCGGTATCGTTGTGTGACGGGGTCACACAGCACCTTGTGCAGAGGAAGTTTATTTCCTCTAGAGTATACAAACTCTAAGTGAACGACCGTTCACGTGTCCCT